TGGGAGTAGGCTTGTGTCATTGTGTCCACTTGTGTGTGTTCCTATATACTTCTTGTGTGTAATGTGTGATTGGTAAGATCTATGGTATCACTGGAATACAAGACAGGCAACAGGCAACAGCATCCAGATCATCCACATGCATCTGTCTTCCATCTTTATCGGAGTAAACAACAAGAAAACTAATGACCTTTCTAATAACTATGATGTTATCCACATTATAAACAAGAACAAGAGGAGAGATTGTGTTTGGTTACCCTTGTAGAAATGGGTCAATGGCTTGTATTGGTATATTTAACAAACACTGGCCTGAATACAATGAAGAGAAAGTCTCATTAAATGTGGTCTAATGACCCTGTAAGAGATGATGAATGAATCAGAAAACATCCCAGATCAAGTCCTATCTGTGAGTTAAACGAGTGACATTGTTTGATTGTTTACTCACTCGACATGAGGACATGTGATTAGTGTGTTATCTCCCACCCCTACCACTCCCTGTACCGTACGCACACACACGCACCACACATTTTTTCTACACGTTGTCATGTCTTCAAGAATAGAATTGACCCGGGGAGTGTGACAAGACGATTCAGAGAGGGAGGACCACAAGTCTTGTTATTTGATGTTTCCATATCTCTGCTGTAATCAGCGTGCTGTCGTTCCGTAATTGTGAAAATTATACTTTACTGTAAGTGTCGGCTTCAGGCTACAGAAGCATGAGGGCACAAGAGCGGCTGCGGGTTGTTGGCAGAGACTTGCCAAAGACCTCCGTAGGAGGCAACAGCTCCTGCTTACATTGCTGCAATTCCTATTGACACGTTGAAGAGGTGGGAAAAAAATATATAAATGCATTTTCCTAGCCAACACAATGTCCCTGACACAAACTCAAAAACATGTTTCTATTTGGCCTCGCATCAGAGAAGTGTTAGTAATCTGTTTTTGGCCCTATTAAATATTTATCCTTGTTTGCACTGTTGCACAACATATTTGATTGCAAAACAATACAAAAACAACGATGGAATGAAAAACGCAATTCCTCTTACAAAATGTTTCACTCTGACTAAATGTGTCATCGTGTAAAATATACCGTTGTCATTGAACTGGAAGTATTTGTTTTAGGATTAGGTAAAAACTCAAACACACACACATACGCAGGTACTAACACACAAATACTGGCCCACACACAGAGATGAAAGTCCTAGTCGCATGAAAGTAATTCAACAGTTAATATACTATTAAGTTGCTAGACACATTAACCTTACACATGACAGTTAACCAATACATGATGCGCTTGTGAATGTAATTATAGCGACTATGCAAGCCACACTGTCAGCTCTTGTGCAATATTGACCAGTCTTCTTTAATTACTGTACATGTGGCAAACAGAGCAGCCTATGTTTACACACCACACGGTATCAATTAGCAACCGGGGTATTTAACTTGGCAAATATATTAAATTGGAATGAGAATTGTAATAAATATGGGAGAGTAAACCTCAAAACTCTGTCAACCCTGGTCATGTGACAGAGTCTATAAAAAAAAACAAGGGTGACTCTGCTGTTCACAGGACTGTAATACATTCACTGGTTTACTGTCGGTCCCCCGGCTTCAAGCCACAGAACCGATGCTCGATCACGGTTGTACATTAGAGTCCCCCAGTGAGAAAAAGCCCACTAGCTGCGGGGCTCCCAAATACTTTAAGTGTCAAAGCGTCCCTCCGAAGACCCCGCACCTTAGATCACAGATGTGATCTCTTCCTGACCTTGTTTTGCCTGCTCTGTCCTCTGTAGCACCCTTGGCAGCCTCACCCTCCTTGTGACTAATGGATTAAGGTAATTATGACATGGCTGTGCCCACATTCTGTTGGTGTGGTGAAAATTGATATTCCAGGTTTTTTGTTCTCACTAAACTGTTGATGAGATTTCGTGGCCCCGGAGCGATACCAGCTCTTCGCGTTAGTGTAGATGCAAAGCACGGGTGGTGTTTCCTTCTGCTCCGCCCTCCAGTTGAAAGTGTTGCTTTAATCAAAGTGTTTTTGTCACATTAAAAGCTGTGTGACTCCATTCTTTGTCCTGTTTTGCGTCTGTGTTTGCAGCTGCTATAATGCTCCAGGAGCTCGCCCATCCAGACATGGAGAGTGCAATAAGCTCAGGTAAGCTTTGATAAGGTGGTGGAATGTAAAGAGGCTGATTAGATGGCCTTATCGAGCCCCGACTGGAACCAAGCGAAACACCACAACCACAAACACACACACACACACACACACACACACACACACACACACACACACACACACACACAGACATTCAGCAAACAACTCACTGACCTCTGCTCGTTCCACTCAGTCGCCTCAGTTGCTCACTGTAATAAAACTAGTTTACACTGTTTGCTGCTTTACACATTTTTGCTGATGGTTTTGTGTCATACAACTTACAATGGGTGCATCTCAACAGTATGCATGACTTTTTAACCCCTTAAACAAGGTCTGCAGACGTGTGAATTCTCTGCATGATGAGTGAAATAAAGCCAGCGAGCCCTCAAACACTTGCTAATTTCACAGTGGGCCGGACCAGGCCCTCCCAAACTTATCAGGGCTGTGCATTAAAGTTTGTAAATGTGAAAAGGAAGACATGATTACTCAGCCATGCTCGTTTTGACAGGGGGACTTAAAGCCTCAACAGTACCGCATGTGTCATTAAGCTCACGAGAAGCTGAAGGGGATTGAATGTCATTGACTGACCAAACATCACTCAGAGAATAAAACCAGAAGTCATCTTGTAGAATCGAATGTATGAATGTACAATGTGCAAAGGAAACTCCTAAGAATTCAGCCAACGTCAGATGTGAATTTGTGCTTTAACAAGCACACGTTTCCGTTTTGTGTGGTTTCCATGTTTAAAAAAGAACCTCAACAGATGTTAATTACTAAAAAAGTCTTAAAATGGCATCAATGTTTTTTAAAATCTGAAACCATCTGCGTTGCTTTTCCACCTCATCACCGTGTCCGTGCTGGTTTGATGAGCTCCCCTTCACAGCGGCCGGATTTCACTCCACGTGGATCTCTCTCAGCTCTGCATCATCAATAACTTCAACGAAACAAAAGCAGCTAAATTAGCTCCTCCACTTTCTTCTGTCATGACTAATGAGCTCTCCCTCCGTTGGTGTATTAGTCTCGCTCCGCTGTGGCTGGACCCCAGGGAATAGGGCCTCTGCTGTGCCGTCCCGTGAACAGGTAAGCCCAAAACAAATGACGAGGCAACGGAATGGAAATAGAAACAATAGGGTCCTTTTTTGAGTTTTGTTTGAGCCGCATGCACAGTGTCGTTTTTTACTCCAATGCAGATGCATCCGTTTGTCCCTTTTACTGGAACATACAGCAGACCAGTTTTGAAAGCGTCGGGTCGGATTGGCTTCATTTCTGTGCAGGCTGCTCTTGTCATCGATACAAGGAGCGGAAAAATATTGAATTAAAGATTTAATGATTGTGAATCATTAAAACAATTATATGTAATATCTGTCAGTATTTCTGTGAACTTACTACGACATTTAGGACATTACACAGCCACACAACAGAGATACAGACCGGAAAAATAGAGTGGTATTAAAGGCCATCGATTTATAACGGAGGAAAATGAAAGTCTTAGCTACAGTTCTGGGCCCCCATAGAAAACTGTTGAAATCCTTATGGCTAAAAAAGCATCTGTCTGATTGGCAGGATCATCTTCCAAAGCTTTTGGCGTCAGGGATGTGACTGATTTGTCCTATCATTAAATATTATGCACCCAGGAATCTAAAAATACACGTCGTCACAGCGATGAGATCACACTTGGAGAGACAGAGGGAGAGAGAGAGAGAGAGAGAGAGAGAGAGAGAGAGAGACTATGATTATAGGCTTTTGTCACAGGAAAGAAGTAGTTATTTGTCAGCACCATCTCAAAAGAGGCCACAAAATAAATCAACACTTTAACTGGCAAACAAGATCCAGCCGCAGTATAGTTTCCGAAAAAAATTGTATTTAAATTGAATGAGTGAGCTGCCATGTCATCTGTTAATTACATTTAGCCTCTAATACAGGGATCTCAAACTAAAGTCATCTTTGTTGATGAATCCAGACTAAAGTATAAGAAGCAAGCTGAAATGAAGTACCAAAAGGCTGCTCAACATCAGGGACTCCCTCACAAGTCACATTCACACACTGTGCTGTACCTGTACGCCACAAACAGTTTCTTGGAAATACCCAGTTACTGTTGTACATGAGTCAATTAAAAGTAGATGACCTCTGAACTCAAATAAAGTGCAATGTACAAGTGGTGTATATGACTGCACTGCAACGCCTGGGCCAGTGCTTAGATAAAGTGTTTTATGGCAGTGGGACATATGAGTTTGGATGAAACACTGGGTTCATGGCAATTATTTCCACTTTCTTACGTAACTCCTTTGACATTCTTAAATATTGTTTTCCATCCAATGAATAAATAAAAGATACGTTTGAATGTATTCATGTTTTTTTTTGTCAACAAATATTTTCTTCATCCTTTGATAACAGTTGTGTTCCTTTGTTTGGGTATTGTGTGGACTCTTGCCGTGATTGAAAGCGGAAGCCTTTGCACTGTTTTGTCCAAAAGGTGGCAGTGTTGAGTTTTATAATTGTACGTAGAGGCACGAAGAATCTCCTCAATACTCCTTCCATATTTTTGGGCCAATTGTCTCGAAAGTCACCGGTGAACATCGTCAAACATTGCAAAAAATACTACTAACTAAAATATGACATGTCGCAAATACATTGAAGGGATTTTTCTTGGAGAGAGAAAAGCTTCATGCCGCCATAAAGATAGCACATTTATTGCATGACATAAACGTTACAGAGATAACAGCCGCAGTCTCCCTATTCAATGAAAGGTGAGTAATTATGATACACGGTGGATTTTTTTTTAAAAGGGCACGTGCATAAATCTATTCAACCACCAATCTGTATTAATAGGTGTGTTCTCGTCTTCTCGCCACGACCTGCACGAATACTCTCATGTTAATGACTTCACTGCACGCCAGCTTCTCAACCGACTCCGAACTCGGACCAAGTGCGAAGAAGAAGAAGAAGAAGAAGAAGAAGAAGAAGAAGAAGAAGAAGAAGAAGAAGAAGAAGAGGCGACTCAAGCAGTGGTCGAGGAGTTAAGAGTCCCAGCTGACAGTCAGCTGATGGCATTTGACAGTTGCGAAAAGTTGGCTTTCCGTGGGGCCACTAATATGTTAATTAGCGCTGCGAGTGCGAGCGCCTATTGGCTCTTCGTCCGAGTCAATTTCCTCTTCCCAGCCTGACGTCAGGGCGGCTCCGGCGCTCTTAAACTCATCTGCTCGTGTGATCCCCTCGAAAACGTCGCCCCTGCCAGTGAGCGCCGCGCACCGCGAGGCTGCATTCGCTCCCTCCCCCCTCCTCCCTTCCTCCTCCGCACCCTCGCGCCTGTTTTTTTTCTCTCTCTCTCTCTCTCTCTTCTCCCGCAATGTATTAAACGAAGAACACCCGTAAAGTGTTAAATGTTTGAAATACAAAACCGCCGAATTCCAAATGCTGAGAACGGAGCCCGCTACTCGCGCGCGCGGCACTGGCGTGTCCGCGCAGTAGACTCTGCAAAGAAAAACTACTCTGACGCGCCGGCAAGTCCGCGGCTGCTGCAAAAAGGACGCTGAAAAACCTCTTTATTTTTTCTTCTTCTCCTTTTTTTTTTGACTCAAAACAAAACGCTTAAAAATCAAAACTGGCTCACGTACTTCCCAACCAACCCAGTTTGACAGCTTCTCTGCACCCCACTTGGAGGACTGTCAGCAGCAAGAGGATGGCATCAGAGCTGGCAATGAGCAACTCCGACCTGCCCACCAGTCCCCTGGCCATGGAATATGTTAATGACTTCGATCTGATGAAGTTTGAAGTGAAAAAGGAGCCGGTGGAGCCCGATCGCAACATCAGCCAGTGCAGTCGCCTCATCGCCGGGGGATCCTTGTCTTCCACCCCGATGAGCACGCCGTGCAGCTCGGTGCCCCCGTCCCCAAGCTTCTCGGCGCCCAGTCCGGGCTCGGGGAGCGAGCAGAAGACGCACATAGAGGATTTCTACTGGATGTCCGGTTACCAGCAGCAGTTGAATCCAGAGGCGCTGGGCTTCAGCCCCGAAGACGCGGTCGAGGCGCTGATCAACAGCAGCCACCAACTCCAGTCGTTCGATGGCTACGCCAGGGGCCCGCAGTTTGCCGGCGCCGCCGGGGCAGGAGGCGCCATGGCCGGGGAGGAGATGGGCTCCGCCGCGGCGGTGGTGTCGGCGGTCATCGCCGCGGCGGCCGCTCAGAACGGAGGGCAGCACCACCACCACCACCACCACCACCACGGCAACAGCCACCACCAGGCGGCCGGCGTCCAGTCCAACGGCACCTCTGGGACGGTCCACCCGCACATGCGCCTGGACGACCGGTTCTCAGACGACCAGCTGGTCTCGATGTCGGTGCGGGAGCTGAACCGGCAGCTGCGGGGGGTCAGCAAGGAAGAGGTGATCCGATTGAAACAGAAGAGGAGGACCCTAAAGAACAGAGGCTACGCGCAGTCGTGCCGGTACAAGCGGGTCCAGCAGCGGCACGTCCTGGAGGGGGAGAAGACGCATCTCATCCAGCAGGTCGATCACCTAAAGCAGGAGATCTCCAGGCTGGTGCGGGAAAGGGACGCGTACAAAGAAAAGTATGAGAAGCTCATCAGCAACGGCTTCAGAGAAAATGGATCGAGCAGTGACAACAACCCTTCATCCCCGGAGTTTTTCATGTGAGTCTCGACATAATCGTGAAAAAAAAATAATAAAAAATCAGATGAGAAAATCCGAGGTTACTCATCTCCCACTTACTAAAGTTTTCATGAAACTTTTTTTTGTTCATTTGGCGAAAAAAAAACTACTAGACCGAGAACTAATTTGTCAACTTTTTACTTTTTTTTTTTATTTGATACCTTTTTAATCGTCTGCGACTGTTTTACGATTTGTAGGGCTTCGTCCTCCGTGGTTTAATTTTGGAGGCATAGTAGGACAACTTTCATCTACGTTTTGTTCGGTATATCACGCATAGCCTGTTTGTCTATTTTTTTCTTCCATCATCGTTCATTAGATTTGCAGTGTTCAAGTGAAATCTGATTTTTGACAGTTGATCCAACTTGATGCTGCAGTATACGAAGTGGGCATGCGAGCACTGAGTATACTCCAGTGTGCAGATTCGCTGTACGGCTTCATGTCAAACTGCATCCATCAACGATTCGTTTATGTTTTTACTTTTTTTTTTAAACCTTTTTTTGTATTTTTGTCTGCCAAACTTGGAGGATTGCGAGCCTGCTGTTTGACGCCACCTCATCTCATGCTTGCCTTTGTTTTGAGCACAAAGAGACTCTTCTCATTACAAACTGTTCAGTGTTTTTAAACATATGTCTCATCGAACTTCCCTGCATGCTGGACATGTATGGTTCTTTTTTCTTTTTTTTTTTTACTTTTTTCTTTCTTTCTCCGCTTGAAGATGTTCTTCTCGTCGGATGACCTCCAGCATGGCATTCATAACTTTCATTTTATGACCCACTCACTTTTTTGGAACAGAAACAAAAAAGTGACAAGACTCCCCCCCCCACTCCTCCCCACTCCCCCCCTCATTCAGGAGCATTTCAGCTGTGTTGAAGTGCAGCACCACCGGCTGGCATTAGGCTGCAGTGGATCCCCGAGCGCACCATCAGGAAGTCGGTCAGCGGGGATCCTGGTGCGAGAGGAAAAAGAAAAAAAAAAAAAAAAGACTTCACGAAAGGAAATCACCGATCCCCTTTCCTGGAAATTTAGTCTGATGCCTATTGTCTATATTGTTATTTAAAAAGGTATTCCTCTCTGTATTTGACAACATTTAAACCATTTTTTTTCACGCTTAATTTAAGTACAAAGTTGCAACGTTGCAAAATGGAAAGTGCTACAGGTTGAATCGTGCAGCTCAATATGATAATTATTGATGAGATTGTTGCACGCAAGTGTTGGCAAATAGTTTTAGATCAACTGGCAAGGCTCCAATTGGTGCAATTGAGCAGTTCACAAACAACGCCTTTGCAGCATGTGCTTCAAACACAAGTGTGAAAGCTGGTCACACATTTCGAAAAGGGTTTATTGGAGAAGACAAAGTAAATTACCATGCTTTCTGGAAAATGCGTGTCCTAAGCGTCCTGCTATATTTTGGACTGAGAAGCACTAAAAACATGTGTAAGTTAAGGAAAAAGTTATTGCTCTCCACGTCACACATTCTTTTACGACTTGATCGTACCATTTTGATGCTTTATTAACAGTTGAGGAGAGACTGTTGTTTTGTGCTAAACGAACTCAATATTTGCAAAGCAATAACAATTATTATAATGAATAATGTCTGGACATTGTTTAGCTCGTCAGGGATTGACACCCTGCATGTAAAAAATGAGAGAGTACCATTCGCCAATAAATCTTGAAAATATGTTAATTAATACTTCATATTATATATAGTATATATAGAGATTTTGCTGTGCAAAATTATTTCACTCACTAACCATATGTGATGTTCATATGTGCTCGTTCTTTTTATTTCATACAATTAAATGATATGCAATAAATGTATGTAATTGTCATCAATACGTTTCTCACTTTTTTTTTCACCTGTCTTCAATTTTTTTTTTTTGTGATTGGAACATAATGCAACTAGAATCAAACCAAGATGGGAATTATTGCACTTTATATTGACACGTGCATCTGTTGGCATCCTTGTGTTTTTTACAACAGTATTTTAAAAAAGCATCTCCCTGAACAAATCAGAAACCTCATTTTTTTAATAAGGGATTTTAGGATGGAGTGCAGTTCGCTCCGGTTTTACGGAGTTGATGAAACTCCAAACATAGATGTTCACACAACGATTGTGGTAACACACTTTTGTCTGACACAGGTTTACTTTTTGATTAAAAGAAACATCCAACTAATTAAGAATCCTTTACACAATGATGTTAAAAACTAACATGAAATATTATTTATTGTCATTCAGGCAACAAATACAATTCTTAACAAACTTAATTCTCATTCCAAAAATATTTGCACCCAAATCATAATAGGATGGAATAATGTATTATATAAAATAATTTGCTCTACAAGTGACATACTCATCCGTTGAACCACAATACAGTTTTATATAATAACGTCATGTTAATTGTATTGTTGGATGGGACCAGCGATTAGTGTGTGTGTGTGTCTGTGTGTGTGTGTGTGTGTGAGTGTCTCTCTCCCTCTCTGTGTGTGTGCTTGTGTGTGTGTGTCTGTGTGTGTGTACATTGATGTCAGTGAACTTAAATAGGTGTTGATGTGAGTGTGTCTTTTTGTAGGACGTATGTGAGGAGAACATTCTCCATGTGGATTTCTTGTGGCATGTTCTATATCTGCCCCGTCTGTTTGCCCTCTTTCACACTGCCTGCCTCCTGGTGTTTGTGTGCAGTGTTCCCGCTGTCTGTGTTTTTCAGACACGGTGTGCTCACTGTCACTAGCCTGTCATCGTCCGGCTTCCCCAGTTCGACCCTGCTTCATCCTGTTTGTCGGTGGGCCCGGAGAAGACGTGCTCTCGCTGAGGTGGTTGCAGGGAGGGCGCATGCCATGTTGGGCATGTGGAGGGGCGCTGGAGAAGGAGCCAATGTAAGTCAGCTGCCGCGGTGGGCAGAATGAGGCTCGGCGCCCCGTTTCCAGCCGTGCATTCCAGTGGATGTTTGGTCCTCTGACTTAGCACTTTTACTGGTGCACAAACTGAGAAGGCCACTTCCCTGAAACACAAGCGGAAAAGGTATTTTGTACATTTTGGGACAAGGAGTAGCCTTGTGGGCATCTTGTTTCACTGTTTGCTGGAAGACCAATTTGCCAAAATCTAGAGAAGGTTTCTGCGGACATATTCAGTCTGGATTAGTTTTACAATTTAGCCACGGTTTGTTGTGCGCGACTGTGAGCAAAGGATATACACAGACGGTAACTTTCCTGAAATTTACCCACAGCGTCAGTTTGACAAAACACTGAGTGATAAATTGTTATCTATGGACACAATAGGAGGAAACATGTGTACACCATCTTCCATGTTTTAAGCCAACACTTGTAGTCTACTATGTTTTGTGTGATTCCCTCTGAGGTGCGGGCTGCTGCTGCGGTGGCTGCTTTGTGCCGAGTGAGGGAGAGACTGAGACAATAGTCAGGCTTGTGCGGAATTAAATGATTTTGCTCATGATTAATAGTGGTGTGGGCCATTGGCTCCTGCGATGTAGAGATGATAAATTGTGAGTGCAGCTCTGTGCAGCTGTGCTAGTGTTGGGTCTTAGCATGCACACTCCATGCAATTTACAGCCAAGTCGTTCTCTTTCCTCAATTTAACTAATTGCATCTATTTGATCTAAAGGAGTAGGCTTGCTATTTTGATTCCCTATTAGTTCAGAAAAGGCATTCAAAGGCTTTGGAAAGCATACTTGTTTGCCTTTGCTCTATTTAAAAAAACATAATATCTGTACTTCCCATGAAATAATATATCTTTATTTAAGAGTTATGCTTTGCTTCTCTTAAGGCTGTACGTTTATTTTTCGTGTCTGGAGCGGCATGTAAAAAATGAAAAATGGGTCTCTGTTAAAAGCTGTCCTTCTGTGGCGTTTCCTTATTGAGAAAGACACGTTAGATCTCTTATGTTCATCCACTACAACTGAATACACACTCACCACAGAGACTAGAAATGAAAACACACCCTGCAGCGTGCACACACATGCACAAAGGCAAATCTGCAGAAAAACAATAAATGGCCCTGCATGTTTTTCTCAGCCTTTTGCTGCACAGCGGGACGCTAGTTGTGTTTGTCTTCATTCTGGCATTGATGCAACTCCAAAAATGTCGAGCTGAATGACATTAGTTTGACGACATGTCTCATTTGCAAAATATGTTTACTGTCGTATCAGTGGCACCATTGTGCAATGGTTGTGCAAGTGAAAAATCCATCAATTTTGCAATGATGCACTCTATGTACGTGCTCGTCGGACTCACTGCATAAGGTGCGTCACGAGGTTCACTCAAGTCGCAGTACGCTAGTTGACAGACCCCAAAATAAGACTTGAGGGTCTGAATTCTTCCAGGCTTGTGCCAGGGAAAGGGCAAACGAAGCTCTGCTGTCTTGCTGTTTGAGTGTGATTCTGCATCTCTTAACTCGTGCCGTCCCATGTGCAAGGTCGATTAGTCCCCGAGTGGGTAATGTGTGTGCCCGTATGTGTATGTGTGATTCGTCTGTGAATGTGTGTGTGTCTCTTGTCGTCTCTTGGAGAAGAGGATGAGCAGAGGGCGAAAGTTGCAGCGCACGAGGCTGCCCTCAAAGTCATTAAAGTAATCCGTGCCCAGGGGAGCTCAAGCTCATTTCCTCTGCCCACATCTCACTGAATGAGATGTACATGCACATCCAACATGGGACGGTACACAGTAAATTCAAGATTAATCACATGACCTTGTTTTTTTTACTCATTTCCTGCATTTCAACACTGCCTGAAAAAGATACACTCTCGCTGCATACCTTTTCTTTTAATTACACGAGAAGATTTCTGAGCATTGCAACAACGTCTAAATACTTTAACACATAACTGACTGAGTAGAAGTCTTCCTTGTCTTTGTTTGTGTAACGACTATGTTATTAGGTATGGTGTTGAAATAACACAGCTCAGAGTTAAACACATCAGGTTCAAATACACAAAAAGGTGTGTATGCAGCACAAAAACTCGAGCAAGGAATACATGGCACTTGGCCACGCGTGTCACGGACAGCGGCTCGCGTTGTTCTCACACCCACATCATTCAAGGATTGCATGGAGGGTGTTGCAAAGACACAACATAACTAGTGGCTAGTAAGCTAAACTGTTCCTCTTAATAATATACAAAGAGTCAGCCTGACAATGCTGAAGGATTCTCAATGTCAGTGTTGAGAACACATAACATCTAAAAAATGAATAACAAGCAATGCGGTAAATTCTTTGTCAAAAAAGAGAAACACATTCATACGGTTACATTTAATGTGCATGTGCTTTTGTAAAGTTTGGATTTTGAAAGATCATTTTTCAGTGAGAAAACGCTTGAAGATTAATGAGTTTGGAACAGGAAAACAGCCATGCAGATACGGGACATATGGATGTGCAGCAGTAACACAAGTCGGATGTCTCAGCACAACCAGGTGGCAGCCACATCTGTGAATGTGACCAGATACAAAGACAAAAAAAGACCCCTCCTCTTTTAACAGTGTAGAGGTCGGTACAGAAACACTCATTCAGTCAGAATTAAACAGACACCAGGGATCAATTAAGCTGCTTATCTTATCAGATTACACTTCCCTCTTTCTATGCATTTCTTTCTTTCTTTGTGAGAGCTGAGATTCTCAGTCTGCTTCAAATAGACATTAAGCGGAAACGCGCGGTGTCATTAGAGAGTTGTCCTTGAAAGACTGGCTGCAGGTTATGTTGGTAATGAGGTGGTCGGGACTTGCTGGGGTAATTTTATATGTCTGTAAATGGACCCAAACCAAGACTATTTCACTTGAATAAATAAAACACAATTTTTCAGTAGTGCCATTGCAAAATATGGGAAGACAAAAATTTATAACGGGTTTTGTCTCTACAAATAAACCCTATCAAACTCAAAAAATCATAATCCTTGCGTGTTATTCTATTTTTCAGTAAATTATACTTTTATTATCATCAAAGGATGCTGTTAATGAAATGCCGAGCTGCACATATAAAAAACACATTAATTGAGGGATTAGTCATTTGTAACAAAGAAGGATGATCAATATTCAGCCATTTATTTTATCCTTTGTTTGAGCAAAGGCCGTTTTGACTTTTTTGCGTTCATTCCTTTTTGGAACTGTTCATATAGTTCTGTCGCTCTGATGAAATGTTTGTGATGTTTGTGATTTAGCTGCAGCTTGGTTTCTGCTGTGCTACTAGTATCCTCATGCTGCATCACATGCTGTTTTCCTGCAGGTGCTATACACTCAAAAGAACAGAGTTATATTGCATTTATTAGGAAATCTGATTATTTGAAATTTCCTTCACTGCAGTTTATGGACACAATATTTCCTCAATTGTAATTTCCCCCACTTGGCATCAGTGCACAGAAACCAAAGAGCTCAGCAAATGTTTTTACTTCTGTAGCAATATTTATAGGAAAGATGAAAAAGGCTTTTTTGATGCCTGGAGCGACGCGCTTTCTTCTGAGATTGGTGCTTATGACGGTGTTTGTCATGGGTTAGTACAAGAGTCTCGCATCGACATCCTCAAAAGTTTATTTTTCTGAATTATAAATGACTTCCCTTTAACAACAATTAGTTAATGAGATTATCAGGACTATAAAGGCTTTTGAGTAGAATTCCATCGCCTTGTCTGAGCAACGGCACAAGGTTTTCTCAGGTATTTTAGTTTTGTCTCTGTTACAGTATTTTGATGCATGAGTTCTGTCTGTAGAATCTATTTGCATGCAAATTTTTCACATTTCCCTCTGCATGAAACGCTTACTATGATACATGTACTGTGTTTCACAAGACCGACAAGGTGGGAATGAATCTCGCTTAGAATTGATCAACTTGTTTCTTTGTGATTGTTGGAATGACAGGGAAGCAGAGAGTGACACACGCAGTCACAGAAACAAAGGATGTATTATATATTCATACAAATATTCTTATGTGTTTTGTCCAATTGTATCTTCTCCTTTAGGTCATCGAGAAAATTCCTCCATCTGTGATTTCAAGCCCCAATCCTCCGTGCCCTTCCCTCTCCAAGGTAAAACAGTTGTTTCCTGACTCGGTAACCCACAGCTGTCTAGTAATATTGTAATATAAAGATATATAACTGATTATGTTGTTTTCTATTTTGCAGTTACACAATCTATATTAATTATTAATTAATATTAGACTCATATTAAACAGAGAGATTGAGTGTGTCATCGCATATTGCAAATGTCTGCAAGGCCTTCATAATGCTTACATGATATATCAAAGTTTGTCAATTCCTATTAGTATGCTAAAGAGTGCATGGCTTTTTTTATATTGCCAGTATCTCTCATGATTGCAACCGTCTCTATATCTCCTTTGCAATAACTTAGCACAGTACCCAAATGCATTTTCCTGCCTTATTTAACTCCACAAAAACACACACACTACACAGAGATGACGCTTTCAGTTGTTCTGGAACAACAAATCATAACCACTTATCCAAATCACACGTTCAGATTGTGTGTGAAAAAGGCAGAGCGGAAAAACACAGCGTGCCGGACAGCAATGAGATTCAGAGTGAAGAATTAGCTTCTAGTCCTGAAATCAATTCACGGAGACGTAGAGGAAACTGGGCAAATGTATATTGCGAACCTAACCGTTCCAGTAATGGCTTCACTGATTAGCCCATAGCTAACGCTATGATGTTCTTGCTCATGACACAAAAGGATGAGAGAATTCGCGGCTTGGTGAAGAAGAATGTACATGTGCCCATGTGTTCGCATGTACATGTGCTTGCCTGCAGTGTTATTTACTTGATTGTTACTAAGTGGGGCTTAGGATCAGTAGCTGGCCTTTCTCCAGATCCACTTAACTTCCAAGAGGGGAAGCAGGACAAAAGCCATCAGGGAAGACAAGGACAAATCATCTTTAGATGAAGTGTTTTAAGTGCTCCGATTCTCCTCCCACGTCATCACCGTGAATTAGGTGCCCTCTGCTCACCGCTGAGGGGTGTAGAATATAAACAATGCCAAGGTAACGGATGTTAAACGAATGAAAGTGGAAAACCATGAGGGTGTCTATCTTAGTCAGCCTCGTAAATCTCAGCTCCCTTGCCGCGCGGCTGCGCTGCGCTGATGCTGCGCTCTGACAAGCTGCCAGCCGGGCTCAGAGAGGCTGCGTGCGGTGTGGTCTGGTCGATCCTACTCCGAGCGGTTTCACCCAAGGCGGACATTGCGGGCAGAGCGATGTCTTTGTTTTATGCAAAACCATGCATATGAGGGGGGTGGTGTTGGGGGGGAGGGAGATGAGCAGTCTGGCCACGTAGCTCCAGGAGGACAGGCTGAGTGATGGAGACGGAGAGCCAGGTCTCCACGTCCTTGCCTGGGGAAAGAGTGTCCTGACTCTGGGATGCCTAAACCTCGCCAGGACATTGTGTCGCCGTGTCGCTTCCCTCCCGATGCAAGAGAATATGAAATGTATTTACACTGTGAGGTGTTGGTGATAGAGAGAGGTTAACACTCCTTTTACCCGTGTCTGGTGTGTGTGTGTTATGGAGGCAGGCTCCCCATGCAGGGAGGCACAGGAGAACAGAGACCTACATGTACATGTAAAGTATGCGAAAGAGGCTGCGAGTAAGAGAGCTCAGTGCAAATACAAATTGGGAAACTAAGCGTGTGTGTGTGTGTGTGTGTGTGTCTGTTGGTCTGATCTCATAAGGATACTAACAGGCAGGCCACCAACCAGGTGGCCAGTGTATGGCAGAGCGGTTTAGGGGGAACTTGCTGGAACACTGTGACCCGTACACCACATTTAGTAACAACATCCATTTACCCCATTTATTTTGCTTCTTTATGGCCACATAGTCCATCAGTGCAGTAGAATACATCCAGTGAATGTTTTCCAAGTGGTTACGTTCCCCTGCATCCTCTCTCACTCGGAGCCGTGTGATGATGGCAATACTTGGTCGGAGGCTCTTCTATCACAGAGAGCTCTATTTCTGGGTGCCAGGATGTTGGTCTCAGTCACCGAGGGCAGATGAAATTGATCCAGATTGACCTGTCATGTAGAGGAGAAATGAATAAGATAGAGGAGGGCAGCAGAGGCTATAGAGAAGGGGGACGGCGCAGATGTACAAAAACAACCTCCTGCTCCATATCGGTCAAAAGTTGAGGACTGATTTATTCCCCCCCTCCTCCTCTCTGCTCCACCTGCCTCTCGGAAAGGACTGAGAAACTGGAGACAGCTCAGCAGGAGTTGACTATATTTAGCCCGGGTGACCAAAGACTCTGTGGTCTAACTTTAAAGTTAAAAATACAGATATCCATGTACAGAGAAATGGGCACAGTTTGCGTCACTACATTGCACCAAGCGCAGTTTTCTCAGCTTCATCCAAGAAATATTGCAAAGCAGCTTGTGAGTATTGCCGGGCGCTTTTCTTCTCACAAGAAAATGATTAAATTAAAATGTGTAAGCATGTATATCAAACTTCTGGTTGTGAGAATGCTGCTTTCCTCAAAAAAACAAAAACAAAGACAGGTAAAGATTTATAGTTGCACTTGTATGTGAAGTGGAACTAAATTTAGTATGTTTCGGCAGAGCAGCACTTTGCTAATTATTTTGTTGTGGCAGAACTCTCAGCGTGGCGCTCCTCTCTCACTCTGAGGGGCTCAGCAGTAAGTGCAAAGTCAGCCCTGCAGCCCTGGGTGTGAGGTACTGTTGGGTCTCTTAGGGACTGTCGGTGAGGCAGAGCAGCATGGGACTCGGAGGGTTTATTGCAAGGGCGAGGGGTATTGAAGCGAGGGCAGGCCCACCATCACCAACCAGTGAAAGGAAGGGGAGTAAACTACTACAGTTGGAGATGGTGAACCCTGCCTGATGAAATGGCACGCCCATAATTAAAAGTGTAATAACTCTAAATTAAATACATTTATTTTTGTGGGGATAAAGTGGAATCCCTATCTGTGCTATAATGTGTAAAATCTGTGTGTTGTTACTGTTGAATATAGCAATATTACACACAAAAGAAAAAATCTAATTTTGAGATTTGAAAACACTAACACTATAAATCCCATATCCCTGGCATGTATAAGTTGTACACTACCATACGCACCTTTTGGACTGCATAGTATATTTATTTTAAAAATATTACACTGGTTAAAGTTGTGTTTGGAGTATTTTCATGTGGATTGTTGCTTATTGTAGCCAGCACTCTAATGAATCAAACCAGATAAAGCATTCATACATTTTGTCATAATAAATACCCTAAGTGTACCCTGTCTATCGCCCGAAGTTGGCTGGGATGGACTCCAGCCCCCCCGTGACCCTGTGTGCAGGATAAGCGGTTTGACAATGGATGGATGGAATACCCTAAATGTGGGATCTGGTTCTGGTCCTGACCTGGTTCCGTGTCCATATGGGATCCAGGAGGTTGTGGATTATTTGTTAAAATGCAATGCCACTTGCAGAGAACTAAATAATCTACTCATTGTAGACACTGTTGTTCGGAATGTCTCCGTTGCTACAGGATCCACACATTGGTAGATTAGCAAAGGCATGGATTTTAAACATTTAAATACATCATTGTTTGCTTCGGTGCTCTCTTCCTAGTTGTGCAAATCCTGCCGTCTAGCAGAAACTGCTTTGTTCTTCGTGGTTCCCCCCTGCCTCTCTATTTATACTACAATGTCAAAGTTGTCTTTCTTCCTATCTCTACCCCTGTTTTTAGAATGACACACAGCTCTTCTTCTTTCTGTCTGCCCTTCTATCCTCCAAATGACTCTCCTCCTCCTCCCAGACGAACTCTGCATCCTTCCCCTTGCCACTGTACCCAACTGCACTTTCCTTCCCCCCTTTGCCTCACACTGCACCTGCTTCCCTCCTGCTCTTTGCTCCCTCTCCAAACGTCACTTTTCCCCTCCTCTCCTCCTCCTCCTCCACTCCCATTCTTCCCCTCGTTAGCTTGATGAATGGCTTTACTGCAGGGAAAGTGCTGATTTTCATCCCTCTGTCTGATTTCTGCTGGCTGTTATTAATTTCAAACACTCAGAGAAAAGCAAGTGAGTCAATAAATAAGGAAATGAACACACTTCATCCTGCCATGCAGCGGCTCTCACAGTCATTCAGCCGGGATGCGGGTCCTCTGTGGAGCCCGTCCCTGCATTCATACTGATAAAGTTCAACTCCACTCTTAAATCACAACATGTTTTAGTATTTTTTTCAGCAAAAGATAAAAGTCAGCTGGTACCAGTGCATCATTGCAAACATTTCTGGAGTATTTTCAGTATCTTGCTGTGCTCAGACTAACAGGACCAGGGGGACAGAATGGTACAAAGTAAATGGCTCCAAAGAGACGTGTAGTGTCCTCTCATCTTTCACACCAGCTGACCATTTAAGAAATGTGTGCCGAAGGTGACAACACGAGGAGATATGGAGGAAATGCAGGGTTTAAGAGAAGCAACGAGAAACAGCAGCCAAACAGAGTTATTGCTGCACATTAAACAAAGCTGTCCGCACAGTGCGGCTGAAGCTCTGTGTCTAAGTGCACATTACTTACATTCTAGGCTTAAAGCATTGTGCTTGCCTGTTAACATCACACACAAATAGGCTATGAGACGTTACCATTCGCTCACTTTCGTGCTGTCAGGCAGGAACGCTTACACCAAAAGTCGTTATTCTCTATTTTACTATAATTAAAATGAGCTAGGATGTCTAATCAAAATAGGATCACCATAATGCATGCACAGGCACAAGCATTTAAGCCTGGCATATTATCACGCTGTTTACAAAGTGTTAAGACAAACAGTCTGGGGGAGTATCTTATTAATACACATGTGTGCTGCATGTTTTTCTTGGCTCAGGCAATTAAAACAATATTTGTTATGTCATTAATAATCATACAGATTTGATCAATGCCAGCACTCCTTTATTTTCTGGTATTTCGTTGATGCCTCACTAATTTATTGTTTTCAGCTTCCTGCTAATCTGTGTAGAACACAAATATAATATGGTTTGGTAATAGTTAAGATATAAGACATTCGGTGTAAGTGATTTGTTGCATATGTGTATCTC